GGAAATAGCCGAAATGGACATTTTATCAGAAGTTATGAAGGACTATCCCTTGCAAAAGGCAACAGAAAGATGGGATCTATTTAACAAGTGGACAGAATCAACAGGCAGCCTGTGAACAGTACATATTGAAAGGAGAACTGAATCTAGAAGGCAGAAAAGAGTAAATAGAATAATTTAAAATCTTGATATGGCAATAGGTACAGAATGGATGAAAGTATGTTATTGTCTCCCCTCTTCCTCATCAATCCCAATTCCCTTTTCCTTTTTGTTATCCCTTATTAAAAAAAAAAACCATAGCATTGGTTTCCAAACTTTATCAAGTCGTGACCCCTTCTTATAATAGCCTAGTAACCTGCAACCCCCCTGCCACATTTGGGTAAATAGACTATTGTTGTCATTCCTCAGTATGGTGGTACCATCAGCGCCACCGCCGCTTGTCCTCTTACTGCTCCTGTGTCAGCTCTACCATCACTACTTCAAAACTGGGGAGGGAATAGGCTGGGGGAGGTTAAAGGTAAGGAGAAGAAAAGGAAAAGGATGAACTAGGGGGTGGAAGAACATTGTGGTACCTAGGGAGGGGGGCAAAGCCTTCACGCAGAGAAGATCTCCCTCAGTAACCAGCACAGAGCTTTCCTTGCACCCACTGTAGAAGAGATGGGCCATTTGTTTTTCTGTCTCCTCCTCCTGGGGTTTTGTTGTGTAGTGGGGAGGGGGTCTTCTTTTCCTCCCCCACCCCCACTTCTTTAGGCTGTCCAGAAGTAATGTGTCATAGTTGAGATCCCTTTCTTGTGGAAAGGGCAGCAGTTATATCGTTATGCTATCATTCATTTTAAAAAATTAATATCTCCCAGTCATCCCTTCTTAGAAAGTAGAGGCTTTTTTTCTCTCTCAAAGGACCTGTTTCTCATACATGCACATACACACTAACTTCAATCTCTCGCTCCAAAAGGTTAAGAAAAAAGTTATTTGACAAGGGCTACAACACATAGGGTGTCTTGTGATGCCCCCAGAAAACACTTGTGACCCCATTTGGGGGTTCAGAACTCCCAGGTTGGCAAACACTGAACTATAAGGAATATGGCGTAAGAATTAATGACAAGGTTCCTGTTGTGTATACTCTTCATATAAGATATGTGGGTGTAAGCTTCAAGCTTGTATTACCCTGGCTATTGAGCATCTAATGTGTGACCTGGGGAATATATGTTTTACATATAGGTATATGTTCAATCCAGCATTTTCTGTAATGGTCAAATTGTATTTGTGGCTTAGTTACAGTTGATGTTCTGTGTAAACAAAAGAGCAAAGAAGCTTACCTGGATGTCCCAGCATACAGGATATTTATGTAAACTGAGCCTCAGGCTGTTCTCCTGGAAACACACAGGCCTGGGGGAAAAGCCAGGTTTAAAGCAGCAATACTTTTACATGTGTAGGATTGCATTTCTGGCCTAGTACTGGTGGAGATAAGATGACTAGCAAATACAGTGGTGCCTCGCATTGCAACGTTAATTCGTTCCGCAAAAATCGCTGCAGAACGAAAACGTCGTAAAGCGATTTTTAAACTCCCATAGAAACGCATTAAAACCTGATTAATGCGTTCCTATGGGCTTAAAACTCACAGTTCAGTGAAGATCCTCCACAGCGCGGCCATTTTCGCTGCCTGGTAAGCAAGGAATCCGTCCCAGAAAACAGCGGGCGGCCATTTTGTTTACCCAGTGGCCATTTTGAAACTGGCGATCAGCTGTTTTAAAATCATTGCTTTGCGATACTCGGTTCCCGAAGCAGGGAACCGATCATCGCAAAGGGAAATTCTCCCATAGGGAACATCGCAAAGCGATCGCTTTTGAAGTCGCAAAAAATTCATTGCAAAGCGATTTCATCGCTAAATGGAGCAATCGCTATGCAAGGCACCACTGTATGTGATTTTGAACTATTAATTACAGGTACTGCCATATAGTATACAGGTTTGTTTGTTTACTACATCAGACTTTCCTCCCTCTATAAAGTTTTCCGTTTATATGGAGTCTTTGTTTTTTAAAAGTAGCTATCATCCTTTTCAGTCAGTTGCTGCATCAGTCCCTAACAGCTTAGTATTTATTCTGGCAGCAACCGTGCAAATCCACTATCATGAAGCATGGCCTAATGCCAGCATAATGTTACAATGGCACCTAAGTTTGTTCATTCTGATAAATATTTAGCATTGGATTGTGACAATCCTAATTTAGATTTGGATAATTCAGCTTGTTCTCAGTGGTTGAATAAAATCAGGGGTCAGGGAACTTTTTTACCTTTTACCCCCCCAAAAATATTTTTTAAATACACTGACATTGCCCCCTTGATTTGAAAGGAAGGAAATGATACATTATTTGAATTCAGAATCTTATTGAATCTGCATAGGCTGTGTACCAAACTAGCAGGATGCCCCAAATTTAATAAAGATGTGCACTATTTTTGTTGGAACAAATTGCACACCAGCCATGGGATGGTACTGGGAGTAGTAAGGTGTCCAACGTGCCTAGCAAGTTGCATTAAATTTCTGCTACCTCGCAGAGGACTTAATCATCATCAATGGCTGCCAGAGTGGTGCTAGTAATGACGTGTTTGCTAGAGACTTCCGAGCTTGGGGGGGGGGAGGTTCCTACCGCTTTCATCATTCTGTTTGAGGTGTGCAAAAAGGAATAAACCAGGCTAAAGGTCATGCCACCCATCCTGGTGCCACAGCCCAACATCAAAGGACCAGTGAACAAATTTTTTTTATCATCATCAATGGAAAACTCAGCAGTGGCCAGATAATTGGAAAAGATCAGTCTACATCCCAATCCCAAAGAAGGGCAGTGCCAAAGAATGCTCCAACTACCGTACAATTGCACGCATTTCACACACTAGCAAGGTTATG